CTCTTCTCCTGGTGAGTCTTCTGCCACTTTATAGAAGACCAAGGAAAACCTAAGGGCTTGGAAGGCTGGTAGTGGGAAGCTCCATGAGAGGGGCAAACAGAAAGGGGAGTGGGTGGGGAGCTGCATGGTGAGAGGAGGGAACAGAGAGGTTGGGAACTTGTGGGAGATGGGACTAGAGAAGACAAAGTTTTTGGAAGGGGAGCCACAGACTGACTCTTCATTTTTCATTTATTGCAGGAGAGGGAGCGAGCCCCCAGATGTTCCACACTGTGTCCCCAGGGCCCCCCTCTGCCCGCCCTCCCTGTCGAGTTCCTCCTACAACTCCACTTAATGGGGGTCCTGGCTCCCTTCCCCCAGAACCACCCTCAGTCTCCCAGGCTTTCCCCACTTTAGCAGGCCCTGGGGGGCTTTTCCCACCAAGGCTTCCTGATCCAGTCCCTTCTGGGGTCAGTAGCAGCCCTTGTTTCCTCCCAAGGGGCAATGCCCCCTCTCCAGCCCCACCTCCTCCACCGGCCATCAGCCTCAATGCTCCCTCATACAACTGGGGAGCTGCCCTCAGATCCAGCCTGGTGCCCTCTGACCTGGGCTCTCCTCCGGCCCCTCATGCCTCCTCGTCTCCACCTTCAGACCCTCCTCTCTTCCACTGTAGTGATGCCTTAACACCTCCTCCCCTGCCCCCGAGCAATAATCTCCCTGCCCACCCTGGTCCTGCCACTCTGCCACCAGTGTCTTCAGCCACTATGCACCTGCCCCTGGTCTTGGGGCCCCTGGGAGGGGCCCCCACAGTGGAGGGGCCTGGGGCACCCCCCTTCCTTGCTAGCAGCCTACTCTCTGCAGCGGCCAAGGCACAGCATCCCCCACTACTCCCTCCCAGCACTTTACAGGGCCGAAGGCCCCGTGCCCAGGCGCCCTCAGCTTCCCACTCATCACTTCGTCCCTCACAGCGTCGTCCCCGCAGACCCCCTACTGTATTTCGATTGCTAGAAGGGAGAGGCCCTCAAACCCCCAGGCGGAGCCGTCCTCGGGCCCCTGCTCCTGTACCCCAACCCTATTCTCTCCCGGAGCCATCCCAACCAATTCTCCCTTCTGTGCTGTCCCTGCTGGGACTCCCCACCCCTGGCCCTTCCCATTCTGATGGAAGCTTTAACCTTTTGGGGTCAGATGCACACCTTCCTCCTCCCCCAACCCTCTCCTCAGGGAGTCCTCCCCAGCCCAGGCACCCCATCCAGCCCTCCCTGCCTGGGACCACCAGTGGCGGCCTCAGCAGTGTGCCAGGTATGTGAGTGTTGTGGAGCTTTTCCCCATCCTGGCTGGAAAGAGGCAGCCAAGGCATTTAGTGGAATGTCGGAGCGCTCTTTGAGGGTTTTCTGAGTTGGGGGCTGGAGGCTGGCTTCTTTGGATGATGGTAGAAGGGGCCTCCCTTGAGCTGAATTTCTCTCCTCTTTTACAGGTGCCCCTGCCCCACCAGCTGCCTCCAAAGCCCCGGTAGTCCCCAGCCCTGTGCTTCAAAGCCCATCTGAAGGGCTGGGGATGGCGGCGGGCCCAGCCTGCCCTCTGCCTCCCCTGGCTGGTGGAGAGGCTTTCCCTTTCCCCAGCCCTGAGCAGGGCCTGGCGCTGAGTGGAGCTGGCTTCCCTGGGATGCTCGGGGCCTTGCCTCTCCCTCTGAGTCTGGGGCAGCCTCCACCTTCTCCATTGCTCAACCACAGTTTATTTGGCGTGCTGGCTGGGGGAGGAGGACAACCTCCCCCTGAGCCCCTGCTACCCCCACCAGGAGGACCTGGTCCTCCGCTAGCCCCAGGAGAGCCTGAAGGGCCTTCGCTTTTGGTGGCTTCCTTGCTTCCTCCACCACCTTCAGACCTTCTTCCACCCCCTTCAGCACCTCCCAGCAACCTCCTTGCCTCTTTCCTGCCCCTGTTGGCTCTGGGCCCCACAGCTGGGGATGGGGAGGGATCTGCAGAGGGAGCCGGGGGTCCCAGTGGGGAGCCATTTTCAGGCTTGGGAGACCTGCCCCCCCTACTCTTCCCCCCACTTTCAGCCCCCCCTACCCTCATAGCTTTAAATTCTGCGCTGCTGGCTGCCAGCCTGGATCCCCCCTCGGGGACAACCCCCCAGGTGAGGATGGGGGTGAGTAGGTTGGACAAAACAAGATGTAGAATGAGAGATGGGAGCTGGGAATCAAAAGCTTTCAGTTTCATTCCTGAGTTCTTCCTTGGGGCCTTTGGGGAGGCCTTAGTTCTTGGCTGGGGATAGGATGGCTGTAAGAATTGGGTGTGTATTTAATAAGCATGGCCCATCTCACTTAAGGCTTCAGTGATATACTGGATGTGAAAGCATTATCAATTTGTTGAGTATTTTACACATGTAAGTGTTAGAATCATTCTTTTTTCTTAGCCCTGTGTCCTGAGTGCCCCCCAACCTGGACCACCTACCTCCAGTGTCACCACGGCAACTACTGACCCGGGGGCCTCCTCTCTGGGCAAGGCCCCCTCCAACTCAGGGAGACCCCCCCAACTCCTTAGCCCTCTGCTGGGTGCCAGCCTGCTGGGTGAGTCTGAGGAGTGTGAATTCACTCTCTTGGTGTGAAAAAGCAGCGGTGAAACTTGGGAGTAGAGGCTTAATAAATTCGGGAAAAAGTCTTTGGCCACTGGATAAAGCCTAACGAGAATAGTAGGGTCTGCTCAGCCTTGGTTTGCCTAGGGAGAGACCCCTGACTATAATTTCTTAACAGGTGACCTGTCTTCACTGACCAGCAGCCCTGGAGCCCTCCCCAGCCTGTTGCAGCCTCCTGGCCCTCTTCTCTCTGGCCAGTTGGGGCTGCAGCTCCTCCCTGGGGGTGGAGCTCCTCCACCCCTCTCAGAGGCTTCTAGTCCCCTAGCCTGCCTGCTACAGAGTCTCCAGGTGAGGGTGTGGGCATATATTTGTCAGGGAGATAATTTTTTCTCAAACTGGAAATTTAGGGCTTTCTGAGTTAGAGTAGAAGAGGGACTGTATTTGAGATTGACTGAGAACTTATTTTTTGCCAGCAGATCCCTCCAGAGCAGCCAGAAGCCCCCTGTCTACCCGCTGAGAGCCCCGCCTCAGCCCTCGAACCAGAGCCTGCCCGGCCTCCCCTCAGTGCCTTAGCCCCACCCCACGGTTCTCCCGACCCCCCAGTCCCTGAGCTGCTCACTGGGAGGGGGTCAGGGAAACGGGGCCGGAGGGGAGGGGGACTTAGGGGCATTAATGGTGAGGCCAGGCCAGGCCGAGGCCGAAAGCCTGGCAGCCGGCGGGAGCCTGGCCGACTGGCCCTCAAATGGGGGACACGTGGTGGCTTCAATGGACAAATGGAAAGGTCCCCAAGAAGAACCCACCACTGGCAGCATAATGGGGAGCTGGCTGAAGGGGGTGCTGAGCCCAAGGATCCACCCCCTCCTGGGCCCCATTCTGAGGACCTTAAGGTGAGTGTAGAGTGATAGTGGTCTGGGCTCAGGGGCTCTGAGGAAACGCTGGGGCTGTGGTGCCTGTTTCTAACTTTCCCACACACACAGTCCATCTTTTCTCAGGTGCCCCCGGGAGTAGTCAGAAAGTCTCGTCGTGGCCGGAGGAGAAAATACAAGTGAGTGTTAGGCCTGCTACAGTGCTGGCCTTTGCCTACAACTTTTTGGTTTGGACAGTTCTAATGTCCAAATAGTGGCTTGGTTTTCAAAAGGGCAGACACTTGAATATGAATAAGGATATTATACCTTTACTATCCAAATGTAGAAAGTTTCCCACCCAAACTTCTGAAATTCACCTGGTGCTTGGGAGCTGTTCCTGATCATCTGTGCCCTTATTGCAGCCCTACCCGGAATAGCAATAGCTCCCGCCAGGACATTATGTTGGAACCCAGCCCTACAGCCCGAGTAAGTGTGTGGGTGGGTGGGTGTATGGGTAGGATGTAAGGGATGAGGCAGCAGGAGGAAAGGAGGGTTAGAGGGAGTGGGGAGAAAAGAAGACTTCCTGATACCTAGCAATTGACCATTTCTTTCAACTTCGCATCTGGTATTAGGCAGCTGTCCCTCTGCCTCCCCGGGCTCGCCCTGGCCGTCCTGCCAAAAACAAGAGGAGGAAACTGGCCCCATAGCAGCCATACCTGGAGCTGGATCTGACCCTGATTGGGGAGAGCTGAGTGCTGAGCCTTGGGAGCCCTTGCCAGCCACCTGCACCTGTGGACAGTGGGTGGGGGCACTACTCCCCACTCAGAGCACAAATGCAACCCCTTCCCCTACAATCCCATCCTGAGCCATTGCAGGGGGTAGGGAAGTTCACCCCCTCCCCCCCGAAGCCATGTCACTGAAAAGGCCTGGGGGGGGTGGTATATGGCCCTCTCCCCACCAGGCGCTAAGGGGAACACCCCCTTCCCCAGGTCTTTTATTTGTTTAAGTTATTTTTGCACAAATGACTCTTATATTTAATTCGACTTCATTGCCTCCCTTCTTAAAGCCAACAGGCTCAGTTTACAAACCTGTGAGCTACTGTTGGCTGCTGCCCTCCTTCCCAGTGAAAGGTACAAAGCAATAAGCATCATGCATCCTCCCTTTACCCCTCCAACACCCCTCTGCCTCTGGCTCAGGTTGCTCAAAGCACAGATCCCCTCTTACCCCTGTCCCCAGGTTTGAAACACATAGCCTCAATTCAAGGTATAGCCAGGTTCCCCCCCTTTCCTCTGGGATATAAAAAGGGGGTAAGGGGGCAAAGAGAGCCCTCTGGGCCTCTCCTCCCATACACACTACACTGCCCCTTCTCCCCCCATCAAAACGCTCAGAGACGTTGTGATGATGCGACTGAGGATTATGCAACGTGGTCCAACCGGAGCGGCCAGCATGACCAGCTGTCCAGGGGCTGCCTCCTGCCTTTTCTTTTGTAAAGACAAGACCCTTGGGAGTTTTAATTCTGTTTTGTACTTGCCCTGTGGGGCCTCCCCTGCTTTTCTATGGGAGACACTCTTAATTTAACAGATGAGAATATTTTGAAACTCTGGCTCTGGCTCTGTACTCATTTTTTAATTTAGTTCTTTGGTAAGAACAGGTTACAATTTAAATTTCATCTCTTGTAGTATAGAGTGGCTTAGACTGCCTATTATGCTATGAATGTCTATTTGTGTCCTAGTGCTGCCTCCTCCCCAGGAAACATAGCAGAGGCCACACAGAGTACAACAGCATTTAATGATCAGAAATGGTTGTACACTAACAGTCAGCCACAGAAGCTGTGTTGGAGGACAAGACCCAATCCTTCCCCACACCAGGCAAAGCAGTATTGGACATGAGCTGGCATGCGGCTGCGTCCACGTCCTCATCCCTCAGGCCTGAGGGGAGACCACCTTCTAATAACCAACCCCCAGCTACCAACTCTGTATTCATCAGGGGAGGGGTATAAACCCCACATGCAAGAAGAACCCTTGCCCCCAGTGTCAAATGGGATGGGGATGCTAGAGTTACAGTAAAGGGGAAGCCCTATGTAAGCTGTTAGCAGAGTTCACAGGGGTAGGGATTACCCCTGTTCTCCAGTTCCCAGATGTGCTCACTTTCCCAGCTTCTTCATCCGTTCATCAATGCTGGCAAAGTTCCCCTCAACTGTGGCCAGGTTTTCACGCATGGTTGTCTGCACCTACAAAGTGGTAGAGAGGTTTTACTCTTTGTCGGGTCTAGTTGCTTAACTGGATGAGGACCTGAAGGAATTCTCTGAGAGAAGACAAAAAAGAAATGGAAGCACAGTTTGTGGGCCACAGAGAGGGGGTTTATAGTAGCAATTTTCAAGCTACCCTTAGAGTACCAGGGACCAAGCTCAGGGTGTGCCAAGCAAGCAGGACTCTTGAGAATTCCCATTCTGACTTCAACCAGAACAGTTTTTCTTTTGTTTCTTTTTTTTTTTTTTTTTCCAGAGGTAGAATCAGAACAGTTTTTTAAAAAATCTCTTTTATGTAATGAGACCTAAATAAGCTTTTGTTGAAATGAAGGTTTCACTGGTTCAAAATTTTAGAAAACTGCTCTGGAGGAAGAGGATATTATTTTAAGTCCTTTATATAATTTTTCATTTATCTCAGTGATCCTGTGATTAACACTGGTCTCTCGAATTTAATGGTCCTTCCAGCACTGAGAAGAGTGCCTCCAACAGAAATTGTGGACTTGTGGCCGGGTGCAGTGGCTCATGCCTATAATCCCAGTACTTTGGGAGGCCAAGGAGGGTGGATCGCTTGAGGTGAGGAGTTTGAAACCACCCTGGCCAACATCGTGAAAACCCATTTCTACTAAAAAAACAAAAATTAGCCAGGTGTGGTGGTGTGTGCCTATAATCCCAGCTACTCGGGAGCCTGGGAGGTGGAGGCTGCAGTGAGCCGAGATAGCTCTACTGCACTCCAGCCTGGGCAACAGAGCGAGACTGTCTCAAAAATAATAAAATAAAAAAAGAAATTGTGAACTTGCTATGTCCCAAGCATTACTAAAAGAATGAAGGAACTAGGTGAGACTCATTATCCAGGGTCAGAAAGGAAGTGACAGAATCAGATTAGGGCTTGGCTTTTGACTTCAAAGCCTGGATTCTTTCCAGTGTACTGTGCTCATTAGGAAGAGTAAGCTAAGCTGGGACGACAGGGAAAGAGTGGGGTTTTATAAGAAAACATGTTCACTAGCTCCTGACAATTTTCCCATATTCACCTCATCTATATAACTCTGAGGGAGGTATCATTTCCCAAATGGAAAGATGGAGGTTCATAGGTTAAATAAGTTGTCAAAGGGCCTTCACATTGAATATAGGAAGGAGACTCCAGACCAAGCCCCTGCTGCAACACCATGCTACAAAAATAGGCTAAGGCAGAGCCCTATAACACTGGAGAACCTAGTTTGTACATGCTGGAGAAAGGAGACAGATCAACAAAGGGGCACACACACCTGGGTCAAGAGGGTGGTATTGTCCTTCAGAGAATTAGCAATCATCTGCTGGGTGGTATCCAAGTGTGTCAGGAGCTGACCAAACTGCATGGCTACAAAAGTAAGAAAAGCATGGCTGAGACTAGAATCCAAGATGAGGGAGGGACCAAAAGTTGCCCATTTTTCAACTTTCTCTTAGCACTCCTGGCAGCTGGACTCCCACCTTGCTCATGCAGCTGCTTGATGGTGACGAGTCTCTGCACCAGCTCAGGGAGGGTGGAGGCAATGGGGCTCCAGCGCTGTATAGTTTCATACAGCTGGTGCACCTGAAGGGACACAATAGGGCCCAGAGGGGATAGCTGAGGCAGCCAGGTCAGTATGCACAGACTGCTACGCCACCAGAGTGGGGGAAAAGGGTCAAGTGGGCAGAGGGAAGCACTGCCCTGACTTTCCCAGCTGATAAGAGCTTATGAAGATGGGGACCTGAAGATTCATTGTGTTCTCATGCCACTCATATTGCCACTCAGAAAAACTGAGGGAGTAGAAAGGAGATGGGGAAGCTGTCTTCCGGACCTTGCTTTGTGTATCTGCATCTTCTACAGAGGCTTTATGCTTGGCAATCTCATTCACCTTTCCCAGGACGCTCTGAAAACACAGATTTTAAGGTTGATAGTTGAGAGCATCCAGGGCTTTCAAAGTCCCAAGCTACCCGTAATTTAATTTTCCCTCAATTTAATACCTGTAGCCGAGCCTCCACTTGGTCTAAAACTGCAAGGTCCAGGGCGCTCACTTTTGCTTGCAACAACTCTACAGTCTCCTGGGGATGAGAGTTGGGACAAGCATCATGAGGAAGAAAGGATCAGACTAGGAAGAGGCCTCTCATGTTCCACTAATATATAGCTACAAACTCAAAAATAACCCTCAAAGCAAACCCAGTCCCAATTATCCCCTCTGTAACCGAAACACGCCAGTTTCTTCCCAACTCACCATGAGACAGGCTCCCTGTAGACCTGCAGAAAGGGGATTCTGGTGGGAAAGGGAGGGAAGATATCAGTGGTCCTTATATCTCCATGATTATCATCTTCTCTCATCTTTCCTGGTTCTAGGTGGGAACTCACTAGCTGATCCCTATAACTGAAACCCTTGGATGACCCCTCCCAGGCTTATGTGGCAAGTTTTAGACCATGGGTTGCAGGATCTAAGGCTCAGATTATTACAGGAGAGCACCTGACCTGAGCATCCTGATCACAACGTACAGCTGCCTCCAGCTCTGTCAGGCGCTTTTCAAGTTCTGCGACCTAGTGGGAGGAAGGAGGTGAGATTTGCCGTCTGCCTCCCTGCTGCTGCAGTGGGAGAAATACAACCCTGCTCCACTCTGCCACTCGCCACCCCACGGGACTCCTTTCCCTGGAACACATACCTAGCCATAATCTTAAAATCCTAACCTAAGGTAGATGGGTGAGGGAAACACAGAGACCAAGGAATCAGAAGAGGAATCAACAGGAATCAGAAGCCTTCTCCCTTGGAGAGAACAGGAAAATCTCTAGGGACACATCTTCCCTGGCTTCCCAAGCAACATTGTATCCATACTTACTTTGGCAGCTTGAGAGAACTTGTCTTGCTCAGGCCGAGAATGTAGTTCATAAGTGACAAGGCTGCTATCTGGGGGGGTCCCAGTGGTTTTTCCCCCTGAGCTTGCTTTGCTGTTCTTTGTTGCTTCCAGCTGCAGCAGTAGGCGCCTAGTTAGGAGGTCAATTATCAATAATGTAAGGAGGAGGGCCAGTCACTCTCTCTCACTTTTGCCTTATCCTTAACATTAAGAAACAGCGAGGCCAATTCTTCACTTAGCACCCCTGTCAGTAGCTGGCTGAGTCCATCCACAACCCCAATCAGCAATGATTTTTCAGCAAAGTAGGGTACCCACTTAGCCAGAGCACCATCGGGGTCAGTAAGGTTGATTGCAGCATCTGGTCCCAGCAGCTTCTCTAGGTGGGAAGCAACTAGCTGCTGCTTCAGGGCTGCCAGCTGTTTAGCCAGCACCACAGGGGTCAGCTTCTCCTCTGCGGCTGACTCCTTCACTGTCGTCTAGTATTAAAAAAAGGTAAAAAGCAGGGGGTGGCAAGAATGAATCAAGAAGCAAAAAAATAGATCAGGCCCTTTAAGGGTAGCTGTAGCTGGAGGTCACTGGGATGGTTTTTAGCATGGCAGACTGCCCACCTTATGTAGCACTGGATGTAGATGGATGAATATTCCTAAAGTCTGGAAACCTTAGCCCCTTTATCCAAGAGCTTACGGAATCTTTCTTTCTCTTTTTGAGATGGAGTATAGCTCTGTTGTCCAGGTTAGAGTACAGTGCTCTGATCTCGGCTCACTGCAACCTCTGCCTCCCCGGTTCAAGCAATTCTCCAGCCTTAGCCTCCTGAGTAGCTGAGATTACGGGCATGTGCCATCACGCATGGCTAATTTTTTGTTTCATCATGTTGGCCTGGCTGGTCTCGAACTCCTGACCTCAGGTGATCCACCTGCCTTAGCCTCCCAAAGTGGTAGGATTACAAGCGTGAGCCGCCATGCCTGGCCAGGGAATCTTTCTCTTCTTGCTAGAGGTCTTCCTCTACTGTGTAAGTCACAACAGAGAGGGGAGAAGAGAGTCTGTTGTTACCTTGATTTTTTCAACTTCAGTTGTCAGCTCTTGGACCTCATGAAGTAAGCGCTGGTACTTTTGCTGGGGTGTCTCCTTCACTCCCAGACCCTCTCCAAGCTAGAGAGCAAGCACAGAGGGTAATGTTATACATCTCATTACAGGGAACCTCAAGAATTCTTCCACATAGGGCCTAAGTCATAAAGGTATCATATCCAATTGAGAATCTACAACACCCTAATACGAAAGAACTGAGGACAGCCAGAGGCCTGGAGGCTCTCCAGAACAAACAGCAGGGGAGCAGTTTCCTTGGCTACATCCTGCTGCTTCCTCAGGAACAGAGGAGAAACAGAATCCCGCCTGTATCCCTTGATCTCCCTCCTACATGTGGGCTAGATAGGGTCACTGCATCATTCCCATCAGCACACACACACACAAAACCAACCATCTCATATTCTCCAGATTCATAGCCTGTCCTCTTGGTTTTTCCAATACGATCTGAGAAATCTGCCAAGAAAAGAAGATGGAACTGAGGGCCTGATCTAGGCCCAAGGCAGTCATGGTCTCAGGTGACTGTGAGGGTTTCCACAAAAGATCTTCATGAGGGACCCCTTCCCCGCAGCGCAAGTCACTAAGACCTGAGGACAGGAAACCACTTATCATGCTTATCCTCCAGTCTTCCCCCTACCCAGCTTCCAGCCCAGTCTCACCAAGTCCCTTTGTTCCCACTCTCTTGTCCTTGAACTTGTCATAGGCAGCATTAGGATTGACAATGATGTGCTCTACACTTGTGCTTGTCAGCTCCTCCTGCAAGAACAGGTAGTTTAGGCCAGGGGCAGACTCAGTCCCACTGTAGAACTTCCTCTAACCCACAAAATCCCCAAACCATTAGATGACTGGGCCCTACTTGTCCAAGGGGAAAGAAGGGCGGCTCTATTCCAAGGTGCCTACTCAGGCTCAACCTAGGAAAGTGAAGCTTCCTGGTAAATTTGGAGCCTCAGTTGTATAAATATTAACACCCTCATTCAACTGGGAACAGAAGGAGCATAACCTCCCCACCCTCTCTGTACATAAGCCTTCCCATCCCCCCACCTTAACCCTCCCAGTTGTCTGGCACACACCATGCACTCAAGGCAAGAAACCAACCTGACCTCTTTTAACCTCCCCCTCCCAAAAGTAAATCTCCTTGCCCGCTGAGCAACTCCATTTTAATGCAAACCTCCCGTCCTTGCTAGAAGGAAAGAGGAGGGAAGGCAGATAATCAGGCCACTAACCCTGAGTGTGAATATGGACTTTAAACCTGCTGAAGGTAAGACACAAGCTCTTAGCACGGAGGAAGTTCAACAGAGGTCCTGACCAGAAGCCTGATTCCTAGGCTGCCATGAGGCCAGGAAATTCAGGGATAGTGAGAAGGGGCAAGGGTTTACTGGATTATTTTTATGGGACATCTTACAAGCAACAAACATAGGCAGTATCTGCTTGCCAAGAGTACCCATGGGCAAGGGCCACATGTAAGCCCTGAAATGGAGATAGCCCAGCATGTCTTCAGAGAAGCTTCAGCACCTGATTTTTCTCCCTGACTCCTCTGCTGTGCTTTAAGCACTTAAGTTCTTCCAAAAACAGGGGACACAGTAGGTGGTGAAAGAGACTTCACCCTAGAAACTGAAGCAAAGAGGCTCCCTCCTTACTAGGTATCTACATGCTGTTCAGATTCCAGTAACAACACCGAGACTGGGCACTCCTGACTGCATGCCCCTTTTTCAATTGTCAGAAGCCTAACAGCTCCCAGCAGAGTACTGATGGAAGCAGGAGGGAGACCCAGGAGTCCTTTTCTATTGGGGATGGCATCTCCACCTTCTAAAGAGGAAGGCGAATGAGACTTCTTTCACCTAGAACAATGGTTCTCACCCCAGACTGCATGTTAGAATCACTTAGAAAATGCTTTTTTTGCCAAGCACAGTGGCTCACGCCTGTAATCCCAACATCCCAACACTTTGGGAGGCCAAGGCGGGTGGATCACAAGGTCAAAAGATCAAGACCATTCTGGCCAATGTAGTGAAACCCTGTCTCTACTAAAATACAAAAACTAGCTGGGTGTGGTCTGGTGCATGCTTCTAGTCCCAGCTACTTGGGAGGCTGAGGGAGGAGAATTGCTTGAAACCGGGAGGTGGAGGTTGCAGTGAGCCGAGATTGTGCCACTGCACTTCAGCCTGGCGCCTGGTGACAGAGAAAGACTCTGTCTCAAAAAAAAAGAAAAAGCTTTTTTTTTTTTTTTTAAAAAAAAAAAAAAAAGAGAGACAGCCAGGTATGGTGGCTCAAGCCTGTCTGTAGTCCCAAAGTTTGGCCAAGGTCAGTGGATCTCGGGAGTTCAAGACCAGCCTGGGCTGGGCAACACAGTGAAACCCTCTCTCTACAAAAAATATGAAAAATTAACCAGGTATTGTGGCACGAGCCTGTGGTCCCAGCTACTCAGAAGGCTGAGGTGGAAGATCTTGAGCCTGGCAGGTGGAGGTTGCAGTGAGCTGAGATCATGCCACTGCACTACAGCCTGGGCAACAGAGTGAGACCCTGTCTCAAAAAAAGAAAGAGAGAGAGAGAGAAAGAGAAAGAGAGAGAGAGAGAGAGAGAGAGAGGAGAAAGGCCTGGGCCTACTTCTAGAGATTCTGAAAAATTATTCTGGGGTAGGGCCAGATATCCAGGTGATTCTAACCTACAGCCAGGACTGAGAACCTCTGCCTGTGGGTAGGTATGTAGGGGGAGAGTGTGAGGGGGACATGGTGGGACAACACTGAGAAAGAAAAGCAGATGGAAGGAAGCTCCTTCCTTCATCTCTGCTCTGCTATTAGAGTAGGAATCAGTGTGGGTGGCAGCTTTAAAAATAAGGGAAGAGAGGAGGAAAGGACAAAGTATCAACTTTGATCTTTACCTCTTCTTTAGGGAATTACTGGGCAAAGGGGGAAGAGCTATAGATCAAGAGAAAAACAAAAGACTCAATGTCCCATATGCAAGTGCCTGGGGGAAGAGACATTTGAGTCCCAGATAATTATCTCTTAACCTGTTCTGAAATGTTATGGCCAGAACACCCACCCATCTAATAGCTGTGTAGTCTCTGGCCTCTAGAAACTGAGAAGGGCTCAGGCTCAGGATAGACAACCATCTTCTCTGAAGTTCATACACGGGAATATGCCACTTCTCCCTGTGAAAGCCCCAATCAAGGCCAATCCACCCATCCTCTTTTGTTTAATCCTCTTAAAAAAGAGTAATGGGAGGCATAACTTAGAGACACAGGAAAAAAATTAATCATATACCATTTGTTAAGCCCTTATTATGGGAGGGCACTATGTAGATGGGAACCCACTTTCTTACTTATGGTCCTAAGCAGGAAAAGCAGGGAGTAAAAGAGGGTCAACACACAGACGGTAAGTCTCAGAGGTTCTGGACAGTCATCCCAGGGACAGATAGCATTTTCATCCCTGCTGTGGGAGCGTCCTGGGCCAGCTGGGCTAGCTGGCGCTGGCATCCTCTGGAGCCTCTCCAAGGCTGTGGCCCAGGGGCACAATCTAGTCCTCCAGTAGCACCCACTCCAGCAGTGTCTTGAAGATCTGAGGCATGAGTTGGGGGCAGTATGAATAACAGTGACTTGTGAGATAGGAAAAGGCTGGGTGCAGGACTGAATAGAGGAATGAAAGATTTAGTAGAGTCTGAAGGATAGAGAAACAACTGCTCATCACAGCACACCCCGTTAAAAAGCAGATGAAAGGTCAGGCTTCTTACCAGCTCCTTGTGGTTTCCCCAGAGGTGAGAAAATCAAGAGTTAAAAGGAAAGGGAGTGGGGAAATGGGGATGAGGGAGGGAAAAAAAAAAGACAAAATTGTTATTAGCAAATTGTCACATGCACTACATGACAGTCTTCAAACACACTGCACCACAGGGCCCCAGGGGAGCCTAGCGAAATTTTGGGGCCAAGAAATTTCAGCTGGGGTCATCATATACCCCAAGAGAAAGAAGAGCACGAGACCCTTTTCCCTCTGGTGGTGAGGATGTCATGAAGCTTTGCCATTAACAGCAGCAGTTTAGGATCATCTGAGAACTAGGAGTTAGATGTTACAAGCCAGTGGCATGGAATAGGAAATGGGAGAGAAGGCTGAGGTGGCGGGGAAGCTATTAGAAATGGCAGAACATGAAGCAGAAGTTAGAGATTCTTAGGACTTGTGGCTGATAGAGGGTCCATAATTCTCAGGGGAGGAGTTCCCATTACTAGTTCATGGCCCATGTCTTCCTATCTCTTGGTTTCTCTAGCTGTGAAAAATTAGACATTTCGATGACAGAATCAGTCACGATGAGAGTGATCAGGTGGGAAGTCTGATACGACTGTAGGTGAGATGCATAGATGGTGAGTTTAAGGAATGATGAAGTACCTAAGTACAGCCCCATTCTCATTTCCTCCTGCAAGAGAAGAGGCAGGGCTGCTCGTGGTCCCTCATGCAGCCTGGCTTGTTTGCCTCCACCTTGAGTGGCTGGTAACTCACCCCGAAGCTCCAAGGGATCCAGAACAATTTTGCCATGCTGTGCTAGCACAGAGGGTCCAGAGGACACCAAGATTCACAGCTACCAGCCCATGTGCAGAATGTTTCTTCAACCCTCTGTTCACAAGATTCACAGGGGTTGGAGGGTAGACAAGGGGGAAGGGTGAGAGTATTTCCAAGAGACCTTATTTGAGTCTGGGCCACATAGATAAGGCTCCCACTTCCAGGCAAGGTTGGTTTAGAATTACCAGGAGGGAAAATCCAGAGGTATGCCCTGCCTTTCTAGGAGCTCTGCTGATGGTCAGATGGATGGAAGTGTGGAAGGTTGAGTATTCTTGTGTGCATATGAAAAACTATGGTGGGATAAAAACAAGTGCTTCCTTGCACCAAGATTTCAGCCAGATACTTCTGACCCATAGCCTCTCTGTTCCCTAGCCGATGATAGGGTCGCAGCCAAGATTCCTCTTTCGCCCAGGTGTGGTGGCTCACATCTATAATACCAGCACTTTGGAAGGCTGAAGTGGGTGGATCACCTGAGGTCAGGAGTTCAAGACCAGACTGGCCAACATGGTGAAACCCCATCTCTACTAAAAACACAAAATTAGCCTGGGCGTGGTGGTGGGTGCCTGTAATCCCAGCTACTCGGGAGGCTCGCTTGAATCCAGGAGGCACAGGTTGTAGTGCCGAGATTGTGCCACTGCACTCTTGCCTGGGTGACAGAGTTTGAGACTCCATCTCAAAAAAAAAAAAAGATTCCTCTTTCAGCTCAGGGTAGAGGTGGCTCCAGGTCCTGTGGTGGAGACTGGGAAGTCTCTGCATAGAGTGAGCATAAGCACTCACAGGTGCACACATGCAAACACAAAGGAGAAGTACACACACTATACCTTTCTCTGACTTGTCCCACCAAGCTAAAAACAGCTTGGGAGAAACTCAAGGAGAGAGAAAAGACAATGGGCCATAAGCTCAAGTTGAAACCATGGGGATTGGGAAAAATAGGGAGGACAGAAAATCAAAGAAAAGAAAAAGTGGTATATTAGTTTGCAAATAGTACATACCACCTCCAGGTCTGTCCTATGGGTGGGTTGAAGGATGATGAGATTTTAGGCATGATTCTTGCATAACCTGGAGTAGTACTAGTTGCCTTAATTGAAAGATTTCAAGTGCCCTGATCCCGGGTGCCAGCTTACCTAGTACATGACTCCCAGTTCCTTTCACTAATGGAATCCCCTCTCCCCAGGGCTGTTTGGCTAAGTGGCTGTGACTCAGAGGACTAGACCTGAG